TCACATTTACGATCCCAAGGTTAGCTCTTTCTCTTTTTTTTTATATATGTATAATGTGAAGATTTAATGACAGATTCTTTAAATTTCATTACAGTTTATCATAAATTGCATTTATTAATTTTTTCATATTTTGTATTTGTTTTGATATAAATTAAATTTCAAAGATCTTTCTTTTTTAAGAAATTATTCTTTTTTAAGAATTTATTTTAAATTAAAAACTAGTATATATTAAACTATGTAATTTAATAGAAAAGAATTTGAAAAGATTTAACATGTAAGTATATTTTTTATTCAATTTGTCTACTTTACAGGTTGAGGAAACTCAAATTATTCAAGACTTAATTCATCCAAGCATAACGAGCAATCCTAAAGATATAAAAAGTAGAATCAGTATTTATAAAGATGCTTATAGCGCCACGAAGAATACTCACGCTATAGTTTTATGTACCGAATGGGATGAGTTTATCGTAAGTAAGAAAAGAAAGTATTATCTGGATAATAATAATAATTTCATCTTTGATACTAATTTTTCTATGCAATTATATGTTTAACATTATACATATTATCTCAATGTAAATAATGAAAGAATTAATAAATATTTTTTATTTTTAGGAATTAGATTACACACAGATTTATGCAGATATGATGAAGCCAGCCTATATTTTCGACGGAAGGAATATTTTGAACTTTGATCGATTGCAAAAGATCGGATTCGTTGTTCAAACTATCGGTAAAAAGCGCACAAGATCAGGAATTTCGAGAGCATGGGGTAGTCAGACACAAATTTAAAAGAAAACGGACCAAGCAATACTTCTAACTTAATAAAAAATGAAAACAATTATTGCACTAATTTTAAGTAATCCAAACATATAGGTGCATTTGCGAAACGTAGACCATTGAATTTTATTATTTTAATAAATAGATATGTTTGTCTCCTAATAACGTATCGATTTAGACTGCGCATCGTGATTTAGATAACTTTCGGTTTTATATATTAGATGTTTATTGTATTTTAAAGTATAAACTTATACCATTTTCTATAACTGAAGAATTTAGAAAAGGATAAAATATCATGGCATGGAGTATGCTTTTTCGAAAATATATTTTAATAATTAGAAGACACTGCAAAAATGTTTTATATATTTGAGGTACTTCTCTATATCATAATTTAAATTAGTTTTTTAAATAAAATTAAATTCTTTCTAAGAAAAATTAGATTTGTTTATGATATTTGAATTTTAAATACTATGTGATGCTTAATTATCTTAGATTATTTAAAAGATTATATGAACAAAACATATTACTCTACTTTACATATTAAATATAAAGTTATATATGTTATAACTTTATTATACATTATTAATATGGATATGAAAACTCAATAGATTTTATAGTATCTTTTTTAGCGAGTAATTCATTCTGATAGGAAGAAAAGTATAGACAAATTAATTGTTTGGTAACAATTAATGACAAATAAATGTATAAAATAGTAACCTAAGACAATTGTATATGCGTCACTGAATAATTTGAAATTAGAAATGAATTGCAATTTTCATAAATTTTTATAGTTGACGTTGACATTATTTAATAACGTGCTTTGATGCACGTAATTAAAGCAATGCTTTTATCGGAGATACGATAGAATCATATTTTTCTTAGTACTGTTAAGATCTCTTTTTATTCACTTTGTTTAAAAATAACTTAATTTATTTATAAAGAAATTATAATTAGATACTTGTTAATACTCAAAGAATTCCGTAGCGTTTATAATGGTTCAGAGTGTTAGCTTGAATATTGTAGTTGATTCCCAATTCTATTGTAGTCGATTGGATTATCGCCTAAAAAGAAATGCTATGAAATCTTTTGAATTTTTTATAATTACAATTGACTATAATTATCTAATTTTAACACAGTATAATTATCAAATAAAAAATATGTGTGCAATATCAAATTGCAATTAAATGACGAATTTAAAGTATAATATATACTATAAATGTTATATCTTTATTTTAATTTGTTTTTTTTATTACTATATTATTACTATTATTTTAATAATTTCAATAGTATTTTATAATTTTAACTATAATAAAAATATATTCCATACATATGATTCCAAAAGATATTTAGACATAAAAATACGCATAATAAGAAGACATTTACTTTATTATTACCATTTTAATAGTGAACTTGTTAATAGTGAACTTGTGTCTATTATATACTGTATAATATTACTACATGATAATTGCAAACTCTTTTACATAAATATTTACATTAATATCTTGTCTTACATCTTGTTTGTTTAATATGCTTTAAATTTTTTGTATAGTCATATATTTTTTGTTCCAGCTTTTCATTTCCATATCACTTTAATTATAACATTTTTATTAAACATAAAAAACGCACTTTGTGATAATCAAATTTGTAATACATTTTTGAAGTGTCAGTTCAAATATATTTGATCATATTTTATTTTACTAAATTTACGAAATAAGTTTTATTAATACAGATTTCGTGAATTTTTATGAAAATTATTTTGATTAAGGTTAGAAAGAATTTATATTCATTAATTTATAAAATTAGTTTGCAGTATTATATATATATATATATATATGTATCAGTTTAAGTTCAATGTTTTTTCAAGTCAGATGTATGAAATGAATTAAGTATTTTAATATTGTTTAGGTACATTATATTTACTATAAATGTATCACATAATGATAACCTATTGTACACAATTTATTAAAGAATTAGTTCCTAGTTTATAAATGTATTATATTATTATAATCAACAAACATTACAGTTTTTATAAAGTTTCATTATTGTTTTAATCGTACATTCACATTTATACATATGTAAATTACATTTAACAATAAGTGCACACATTGTGCATAGTTTTTAAGTATGAAAGTTTATAAATAAACGTTTTTAGAAAAAAAAGTCGTTTGATATTAATTAATAGTTTAATTTGTCAAATAACTATAAAGAAAATGATATATCTAGCTAAAAATTTTATTAAAAGAAGGATTAAGAGACAAATTTGTACACAGTTTTTCACATTTATGCTTTATATTTTCAGTTTAAGAAATATATAGAAATTAAAAATATTCGAAGATTTTGTTTGGAAATGCAATATTTTATTTGTAATAAATATTTTTTGTAAAAAATAAACGCAAAATATCATATTTTAGGAATTACAAAATTTTGATGTTAATGAAACAGAAAGTATCTTAAAAAAGGCGCATGCGCAAATTGGCAGTGATGTATCTATTTTTCGACGATCCCTGTTAACGTGGCAAATTTATGAAAAAAATAAAATTTAATCAAATGTTAAATGCAAAGACTTACATCTGCAAGTCAGATTTGCACTTTCTATATTGAAAAGTAAAAATTATATTTAAAATAAGTAATCAGGAAAGTATAACTTTTTTATTTACAGTTTAAATTGCAAAAAAAACGCAATAAATTCATTTTTATATCAGAATTTATATAAATTTGTACATGATAATCAGATTGTTGATAACATATTGTTTAATCATTTCTGTTAAAATTATAACTAACACCTTTTTTCTTTAATTGTTTAATATAATTGTAATGCAGATGAATTAAAAAATTAAATGCGCATTTTATATTTTTCGTATATTTCAATCAATACAAAATATAAATCAAAATATTAAACTAATGTTTTTAAAATATATCTGAATTTCTAATTAATTTAAATTATTCTTTATTCTAATGTTCAAGCTATGCTCAAAGTGCAACTTTTACGGCGTATTTCGAAAAATTGTCAATTCTTGAAACACTATATTTTGTCTATTACAAACAGAAGATGTTTTTTAAGATTTTATTATTCGTCATTATTTTAGTCAGAATTCGTTTGATTTCCGTGTTATCTTAAAACTTTTAAGACGCCCGCAAAATAAAATTGTGAAAATGGAGCAGTGTACAGCTATGTACGAATCTGAGGAAGGTAGTGACGTGTTTCATGAAATGCTTTAGGAGCAACAGCAGTAGCGACGGTAGTAGCACGAGTCGCTGTCCGACGATCAGCGCGAAGAGCTCTGGCGAGCGATCCGCGTGACAGTTGTGTCGAGATTGCGCCGAAATCGCGAAGTGCCGACGACGACGACGACGACGACGACGACGACGACGACGATGATGCACGACAAAGCGTTGTTTTCGCAAATTCTACATTTGTCGACGTACGATTATCAGTGATATTCTCGCGAGTTATTGGTGAAATTCTTTGGTTACACGAGCGTGTTCGTCGGTGTGTTTGTCAAAGAGAATTCGCAATAGGCCGGGCCTGTCGGTAGGAAAATGGCGGCGCGCCTACTGCGGCGGCGACATCGGACGACGAAGTGTATCTGAGAAATTGTCTCTCGTGCAAGATATAATCGCTTCGCACCTTTTTAAAAATCGTTACGCTCTTTTTAATCCCTCAACCGAGACGATCTTCAGACATACTATTAGATTGGGGGAGAAACGGCGAGCGGTGTGGCCGGAGCGACGTTCGCTCCGGACAATGTAAGAACGGTGTACGGGCTGCGTACGGGATATACGCTCGGACAACAACGGTTACAGGAAAACAACAACGCACGGGAGTGCGTGCGTGCGTGCGTGCGTGCGATACGCGTAGCGAGTCGCGCTCGCAGCTCTCATAAGCGGCAAGTGCTCTCACGCGAGCGCTCTTATGCGAGTGAGCGCCGCGAGTCAGCGGCATCGGCAGTGGCACGGACCGCGGTGACAAGTGTCTCATCGGCGAGGCGGCACCCCGCCTCACCCCCGCGGTCGCCGGAGGATGATACCGTGGCCGGCGGCAACGGTCGTCGCCGTCCGCGAGTCTCACGCGCGATCCAGCGATCGGCGACGTTGAGCCGCGGCGGCCAAGGCCGGCGGCCTTCGACGGTCGATCGTAAGAACGATTCCTCGCGGATCCGCGACAGCGGATTGCGCGATCACCACGGCGGACCACCGGCTGCTCCCGCGGAAGCTTAGGAAAGATGAGAGGCGTCCGCGACGGTGGCATGGCGAGCCTCCTCGCCCTGGCGCTCCTCTATTTGCTCCACGCGTCGTATCCTGTGAACGGTACAGTATAACTCTTGTCATTGGAAACTCTTATCTCGTAAAAATATCTTGTGAGAGATTAAGAAGAGTTTTCATAACTATTACGTTTTAAACGCGATAGCGTTAAACGCAAAGTTACATTTATTCAATGTGTGTACATGTATGTGATAACACAGATTCAAGGTGTGAACATTCTAATTGTGGATATTGACAAAATTTGATTGAAATAACAGGGCTTAGATTGATTCGAAATATTATATAGGAGGAATCGAGATACAACCGGAACGGGAGTGACTCTACAATTTAAAATAAGTCAAAAAAAATAATAGATTTTTTAAAAATAAAGTCTCGTTTTCGGGAAAAATAACTTCGAAAGTTAATCAAGTATGTAAAATTATTCTTACGTTTAAAAAACAATTAAAAGGAGAGAAAAATGTTAAAGAGAGAGAGAGAGAGGGAGAGAATCTATTCTAATTTATGATAATTCATTGAATACAATTAATGTATACGACCAACTGTCATATTCAACAATATTTCAACTAAATAAGAAATAAATGTGTAAGAAATAAAATTATTTTTTATTTTACACTTAAATTTACTTAACTGTTCTTAGTAGTCACTAATTTAATCGATTAGTCCTGATAACACAAAAAATTACACAGAACATCTATCACGTTATATATTTTTGCTCTAAATGAGTCAAATGCATACGTACTTGATTGAAATCTTTTCTTTAAAAACGGGATTTTATATAAAAACAATTTATTTTATTATTTTGACTTATTTTAAGTCGTAAACTCATATCTTTCTTGGTACTACACATATCTTATATTATGTACAACGCCCTTTTTAATTATGCTAATTAAGAAATAATTAAACTTTAATTAAAAATTTTGAAAAAGTTTAAATTTAAATAATTTATTATCTCTTAATGTTTAAGTAACAGCTATTACATTACGTTAATTAGTAAAAGCATGATACTTTCTATTATTTATAATTTGAAAATCTTAGATACCTACGCTCGTTGACATTCTAATTTTAGAAAAATTGAAATTGAAACAATTTATAATATTAAAATTTATATTAAAGAAATTGAGGTAGGGGATGCATAATAAAAAAGGATTTATTATTTATTATATAAAAATAATTTTTAACCTTTAATCTCAGATCATCGACCGTCACTGTCATGATACAAAAGGGGAATCTGATATGTATATATTTGAACACTTTTTGACTTTGCTGAACAACTAAACTTGCATTCAAAATTATTTTCAAGATACGTTTAAAAGCCAGCTGGAAAGGCAATATAAATGAAAGAAAATTACGTTGTTAAAAAAGAAAAGACATAATGATTTCGGCGAGTCTCTTTGTTGAACGCACTTCTGTTTGTCCCACGCGTTATGCTTTGTAGACGATTCCTCGGGCACGGTGTGCGTTCTGCGTGGTGTGTATGCGTGAAGTCTTTCCTTTTCTCTTTCTATATTTTTGTCGAGCCTCGTCTCATACTCGTTTTATCGTTTCTGTGTAGCTTGCGCGTCTCTGTCTCTTCCTCTGTCCCTCCGTTCCAGTCACCGTTTCTCCTCTCCATCTCACCCGTTCTCCTTCTTTCTCCCCTTCAACGGCGCGCACATAACGTTGCGTAAGTAACGTGCCACGCCGTGATGTACAGAAGGGCCGTTTAATTTCGTTGCTGCACGAGGTCCGAAAAGCATGCGGAAGGGTGAGCCGGTGCATTCGGTTCCTACGTTCTCCGCGGCTCCGTTTTTAAGAGCCGCGTCGCATCGGAACATGATTTACCCCCTCAGTGATTCGGTATACTGGGGGCGTTGGATAGCTTAATAATAGAGCAGTCACCTATCACGTGAAAGATCGAGTTTGATTTTCGGGTTCTAAGTATAACATAGAGAATTTTTTTTTAGAGTAGAAAGATATTATTCCATTATGATTAAAATAAGATTCAGAAATAAATTAAGATAATTTGATAATATAATCTCGTCGTAAATCATAGTGCTTTGTTCCACAACAGGAATAGAAATCAAAATGAAAAGAAGAAAAAAATAATTAACCACTTATGTTATACTTATATTATTATTCTAAGATTGTTTGATGTATTACTTTTTGCATTTTTTTTATATTATTATCACAATTATATGTTTCAATCATGTAACGTTCTCTTCGTGCAAAATTTATTTATTACAACGGTACATGATTTTATTTTTATAATTTGACTTATTTGTCAAACAAAAGATAAAATTATCATTTTATAACAAATTCTTAATTAACAAAATTAAAAATCAAAATTAATAGTAGAATAAATTACAAAAAAAATTATGGAAAAATGAAATTGTTTAACTCAGAAAGCTTTGTAACTTAATTATCTATTCAATTCAGAAATAGAATCATTTGATAAGGTGATTGTTATCCTTGCGTAATCATTTACTCATCTTTGTTTACTCCATCAAACAACTGCCTTATTCGTTCATTCTGACATGAGAAGTATTAAACATGTTAGCAGTTCGACTTATTATTTATTGTCCAGTTGACTATTATTCTTCGCAAAAAGGAGTATCTACAAAACTAAAATACTTTAAGAACTAAAATTGAATTTTTTAAGTAGCACAAAATTAAAATTTTTTAATTAAAATGAAGTAATTAAAATATGATGTTAGAGAGATTTAATGTTATATTACTTTTATTTAAAAAATATCTGCTTAAATTTACTTATAAATTTATACCTGTAAAAACGGCGGGAGCAAAGTTGTACACCCAATATATATAATTCCAGATAATGATAATAATTTCTTTTACATCAAATGAAGTAACAATTTATTTTTAATTTTAAATCGATATCAAAGTTCTGTTAAAATACAATATGTTCTTACACATACATATGCGCGCGCGCATACACACACACACACACACATATATATCCTCAAGTATTCAACAGCGATATTGCCTAAGTTTAAGATAGAGTTCAAGGAAGGTTAATGTCTAGAGATTTTAAGATTTATCATATAATGATTTAAGATTTTCTCTTTAAAGCATTTTTTTATTTCTTACACAAAATACATTTAAAAAAGTAACAATGTATTTTTAATTTGATATCGAAATTTTATCGTGTACTCTTATCATCAAGATATTCGACCGCGATATTGCTTGAGTTTACGACAGAGTTTAAGGAAAGATGAATGTCTAGAGTTTTTAATATTTAATTATTTGCTGTGTTGATAACAAATACTTTTAAATAATTATATAGTAAATGATAATTATTTTTCAGCAAACTTAATATTTTTGAGATGCGAAGTTAGCGATTACACAAACCTGTTTACATTATGTATTTATGTATTATGTACATATTGGTCGTGTTCAGCGGATCTATGAAGTTAGCACGATATTCTGTCGATATCAAAAAAATTACAACAGTTGCACTTTTCATAGTTTCACAGTTGCTTATAAAAATAAACAATAGTTCTGGTTAATTAATATTATCAATTTTGGCAATAGTTCTAATTAGTATACTACTCGAGTATTCTACTAAAATATACAATATGAAAACAAAATTCCAACAATTACTAATAATTATGAAATTTAAGTATAAGTACAACGCAACACTTGGAGAAAAAGTGTCGTGCTGGTTGTTCATATACTAGTTTTAACTCTAGTTCTAGTTAGTATTGGCAGAGTTCTATGGTCTACAATCATTTTTAAGCAGAGTTCCGGCCGCTACATATTTTTAATCAATTTTTTAATCTCCGTGTCCAGCACGATACTGGAACTGTTGTAATTTTTTTTTTATATTGACAGAATGTCGTGCTAGCTTCACGGATCCGCTCCGCAACAGTTGAGTCGCAACAGCTGAACGCGACCATTGTTACCTTATCTGTATTCTTATCCATATTTCATATCCATACTTAAGATATATTCCGAGATCTGTGTATTTCACTTTTTTCGCTGTCGATTTCTAATCAATGCATATCTGTAGATAAATACTATTCGATTTTTATTTGTATTTGTAAAATAACTTTTAAGTATTATTTAATAGATATGAGTATTTTTGTCTTCCCGACATGTAAAAAATTTTATTATTCGAAGCACAGAATGATTTAACAACCACAAAAAAAATTATTATCTGTTGTTATCAAAAGTTTATGATAAGTTTAGCTTTTAACATTTAACTTATTGTGAACTAATTCAAATTTGTATATATACCTTTTATATATATGTTCGTAATTAGGAAAAAGTAACTTATACCATTTACGAATTTAATATTTATAATGAGACTTATATAATGAGGAAAGTTAATTTATACTATTTACCATTTATTAATTTACTTCATTCAACATTAATTATAATGTTATATTTATTTATTGAGGTCAAATTGATTTACTATAATAATTACATTATTTACGAGTATAGTAGTACAATAATTAAATTATTTAATTTAAATCTTTTAAATAATTTCTATTATTATAATTTAACAGTAAAAATATTTTTTTCTTGCTTAACTAGAAAATGTTTGCCAAATTAAATATTAATATAAATAAATAGTGAATTGTGTAAATAACATTAAAAAATGCTTGTTTTATATTACTGCAGCAAGAATAAAAAAGACTTCGTTTGGAAGCACTCTCGATTTAACAATATGGTTTAATGAAAGATGTCCTTGTCATGTTTCTTTATCTGTTACAATTAGATACACTAATATATGTCTATATATACACTTTTCATATCTCTGAATTATTCCTCGCATATTTTATTTATTCTTTACATTAGTTACATTCTTCTTTCCTCTTACAATGCTCAATTTTACCTTGATGGATTCGATGCTTGATAATTGTCTTGCATGTAAATTTAGCTCTTAAAATTTCATTACAAAAGCAGCACATGCTTTGATGTTGTTGTAAGCGATAGATCGAAGAGGCATACACAGCTATTTCTTCATCCCATCGGTGCGTTGTTATTCGATAGATTCTTAATAGGCGTTTGTAGGTTGTTTGATAAAATGATCATATGATACGAGAAAAGGACTGGCTATCGTTGTAACGATGTTAACGAGACACTTATGCGTCTGTATATCTAACGAAGTGCAAACGTAAACGCAAATATTGACTAATGTCTTTTATATAGAAGATATTTTAATAAGAGCGGTTGTAGGAAAGATAATAGACAAACACAAAGAAAATTCATAAATTATGTTGTTTGTCTAATTGCAGTAGAAATTTTTACTGTTTGAACATTTTTAAAATAAATAGCGTACAGGATTGTATTGTTATATGTTAAATGTATTAACACTTTGTTTGTCTGATGAGTTTTGCATTTCTTATCGGAATAAAATTTTATCAATATTATCATAACCCAGTAAACAAGAAATTTTGAAACATTTAACAGCATTGTAGCAACGTTGTCTGGAAAGTATATATAATTTTATAATCTTCAAAAAATACAATATGACTAAATTATTTATATTATACTTTCAAGAGTTGAATTTTATGTTTTATACTACATATACAATAATATAAAAATTTATAAAAATCCTTCTATTTTATTATTTTATCAAACTTATTCTAATTTATTATTTTATTTATGTGTGTATCTGACAGAGTGTACGTATATTACATTTTTTAATTAATGTGATTTTCAGCTTCTCATAGTAATTGTAAAAGCATTATAAAATCTAGGACAAACAATTATTATTTATAGTGAAATCAAACATCATATCAGCGCAAAACGCCAGATAAATACCATTATATGTTGCACAATGTTACTATATTCTCAACAATATACATATATGTCTTATCACATACATGTATGTACATTTTAAGTTTTCAGTTGTAATCTGTGATTGAATGCAATACGTAGATAATATTGAACAAGCACGTCAGCTTACTGTCTAGTAAAACGTCGAAGTCATAATATTTTCTCCCGCGAGATACGAAGGGAGGTTAAAGACGCAATTTTGATCGATATCAGGTAGTAAAAAAAATATTTATCTGTATGTCTATTTTTTGACATGAGAGACACTATAATGTAAATGCATATTATCCTAAAAATTGTTTTATAAAAAATTATCGGGCGATAGCAAATTACTTCTACTATGATTTATGTTTTTAATATTGATGAATATAATATAAGATTGAGTTATATAAAATAAATTTATTACGAAAACGTCGTACTGAAAAATGCAAAAAATGTTATATTTTTATTTAATTAGAGTTTTTTTTCTGTTACTCTTTTAAAAATTTAATGGCGAGTTTATCACAGATCTATTTTTTAAAAATGAAATAGGATTTTGAAGAATTAAAATGATTATAATGCATGTATTTCAAATTAAAATTAATTGAATAATGATTATAAACTTTATACATGAGAATAAACTTTACTTTATATTTTATTAATATTATATTGAATATTAAAAATTGAAGCATTGCGAAAAATTTTCAGGAAAAAGGATGTTATAATAAATTGCACAACATTGTGACAGCTGCAATACTATTATAAGAGATTTAATGTTTTATTTAATATTTAGTTTTGAAAAATATGTTTACAATTCATACGCATATTTGCATAAAATATTGCGTGCATATAAATATCATAATGCTTATTACGATTTTACTTAGATTAAATTTTAAGTAGTTCTAATGGATATACATCAATATTTAATTAGAAAATTAATATTAATATTAATGTCATCAATTGATATTAAATATAAAATTCAAAATTTTATGAACATATCTATACATTGAATAGAAAAACATCGTTATTTTATATTTTCGAGCACGATCGTTTTATGAGTGCGGAATTTAAGATTGAGATATTGTTTTTTCTATATTAAGTGCTGAATTGTAAATTAGATTTATAAAAAAATCGCGTGTTGGCAACACGACCATATTGAATTAATTATCTATAATAGGTAGAATACTTTTTTTCTATCACAAGACTATTATATTAATAATAAAAACTTATATTGGATGGATTAAAACTTAATAAAAACATGTGTATACATATATAATATAATTGTCTAAATGTACCTTTCTCTCAGAATTGATTGTTATACACGTATATAATTTATATATGCCTTACTGACTTGTATATAAATTATAATTAATAAAAGATTTATTTTTCTTGTTGATTTGATACTCTTGATTAATCTTTTTATATATATTAGTGCAGAAAGTAATTGTTACTCTTTACAATAAGTCTTGTGTTAGTAAATTAAACGAAAAGAAATTATATATGGTTTGTTTATGATAAAATAAATAATATGTGTGCTCGTATGAGGAAAACGTATTGAATGCTTACAACCAGGGATCTTTTTTTCAGTACAATTGCACTGAAAAGAACATCCATGCTTACAACCGCATTTAATATACGTATATATCGATTTATGCATGCGCGCGCGCGAGTGTGTATGTATATATATGTATACTATACCAATATGAAATATTGCAAAATAAAATTTGAATAAATTTTTTTACTTTTTAAACTTTGACATATAAAATTTTGTTTAAATATTTATTTTATAATAGTATGTATTATTACATTGTGTACATAAAAATTTATAATATGTAAATATTAATACATTGTATATATAAATTACACTTTGTACATACATATATGTATAATTATATAAAAAGGATCATTTTTACGCATCTAAATATTATATTATCAAATTCTTATTCAAAAGTTTCTTATTCACAGAAGAAATAAAAGTTATGAGACACAATGCTAAAGTTCCGGCATACTCATCTCAGATATGCAACATTTACATCTATTGTATGAAAGTAGCAATATAAGTACAATCACTCAACTCCCAAGATTTTTTGTGTTCGTCATTTTTTACGCGTTGTTTATTTTCTCCTTTTCAGTTTGGCAAACAAAAAGCTCATAAAAAGTGGCAAGGCCATCGATCACAATATAATATATTGTTGTCAGACTTATTTTTATATTCTTTAAATTTATTGTATATATTTTTTAAATATCTTAATTTTTTCTTTATTGTTTAATTTGTTAATCTTATATAGTTTGTTAGATTCCAAATTTTAAACGTATTTTTGTATACATTTTTAGATTTTTATTTATTTTTTTTTTTTAAGTGTTCTTGATGGTTTTCCAGAATTCTACACAATAAACACACTTGTACAAATTTCTAAATTTATCTTAAAGAGTAATTGGAATTGATAAGTACTTGATGTATTTTAAAAATTGTATGTCAATATTTGTAAAACTTACGATGTTATATTATCGTAAAATAAACTGCTTCTCTCAATTGTGGTAAGTGCTGTATAGCGTTTCACGAGAATATTTTCTTTTCTATATTTCTTTCATACCATACTGAACCACGCAAGCGCTTTTTCACCTAGAATTCGATATATCGTCAAATAATTCAGATATTTAGTCACAAAAGTCTATGTAAGAAAAGTAGGAAAATATTAATCTATGTACATTTATGATTATGTTAATATTTATTGATGTGATTATATTATTATAAACCAATAACAATATTTTTAAAAATGATGATATGCAATAATGATGTGTACTCATAACAAAAATAAAAGAAAATAAAAGAAATAAGAGAAAAATGAAAGAAATTATAATATTTAATTTAAAATAAATTTTGAAATTTTTTTTATAAGTTCATAAACTGTAAGAAATAAAACATGATAATTTATAATAGTTTAATCAAATCTACTGTTAATTTAATATTATTGGCATATCGCTAACAAATAGAGAAGCATGATGCCTAAACTAATAATAAAAACTTTGTCTATACTTTATGTAACTTAAATGAATTTATTTTGATTTTAGGACTACTGAAGTGCTATTGCGATATATGTCCGGAAGCAAATTTCACTTGCGAAACCGATGGTTATTGTTTTGCCAGTACAAGCCTGAAAAACAACGTCATTTCGCATGCTCGAAGGTAACGTTTTTGCATGTTAATTTCATTTATAAGCGTATGCGATTTACAAAATTCTTTTCTATTGGCTCATTCCTTGATCATCGGTAGATTGCCGTCAATCAAATAGTATTTGATGGACACCGGCAAGTTCTTCCGATCTCCCATAAAAATTATATGTACTTTCTCCACTACTAAACTTTATTACTTAATGTGTCAATTTTCAGTATATTAATTAATTAAGGTTAGATTATTGAATATTAAAAAGAATTATTAATCACAATCAATTAGGATCAAAACATAGTTCTTTAAAAAAAAAAAAGATTTAACACGAATAAATTGACATACATAATGAATTGAATAGTCATTATGGTGTTTGGACTGATATTTGTTGGTAAGCGATTAATGACAATATTTTAGCGCAGATTTTAAATTTTCTCAACAAAACAGATCCGGTTTTTTTGCGTTATCTATAATATTTATCGTATGAACTGATAGATATTGTAATACATTACGATAACATTGTATAATCAATGTTAAAATAAAACTTGCAACATCGTTTACTTAGATACGCGATTGTTTCAAAAGATTTTCTTATCAAGTTGTTCTTTTATTTTTATTTGATTTGATTTGTTTTACCATTATTAACTTGTTAACTCATAAATTTATTTCAAATCTTTGTATATTTTTTTGATATTTAAATATATTCCTTTTCAATTAAATTATTTTTAAATACATCCATAAACTTCTATTAGCATTAATAGATTTTTTACCTTTAAAATCCATTTTTATATTTCTTTGAGAAATTTATATTATATAAGCGTACTTTTTTATTTTAGAATTTATAATAAATTTTAGATTTATAGATAATGATACGCACGCGTGCATATCCTAAAAAGAAATACATACATAAATTTAAATTATGTATTTCTAATTTTTACTTTTATAAATTTCTATTTTTTATTATTATACATATATACATAATATATACGTTATATGTATATATTTTTAAAAGCTCTATTATATTGTTAAAACTTAATTTGTTTTAGCGTTTTTGTTAAATTTTAAATCAACGATCCGTATGAGACATCTTCATCTGTCTAATTGGATCATTGCGTAAATAATAGATAGCTAGAATATTATTATAACTGAGAACTTCCTTATGTTAATGTTTATCACATATAAAACTTAACGGTTCAGGTCAATGATTATTCGTGAGAAATGCCACGTAGCATATCTATTGAACGACGGTCTTCGGTTTCACATAATTGGACATTGCGATCGATGCCCTCTGATTTCCACGAATGAACATTTAGCCGGTTTTTCCACTCCACGCTTTCGCCCGGGCCATGATTAGCGCCCTTTTCGGCGGAAATAAATTATTGTTGTCGGTTAGTCGTCGCGTTGGTAACGCTACAGAACGCTGCGATGCGTGGCAAAACTTCAAGTTCGACCGTTTTATGAGCCATGCAAGGAAATTCTGGACGCGATTGATCGCAGGGCAAACTCGGGGCGAAATTCGATGTTACCTTCCCTTCTTCCGCGGTATCGATTTCGAATACGTCGAGGAAGTTTCTTACGCGCAAGCGTGGGGGTAGCCATATACAAATTTCAATTCAATCCAAACAGATGAGACGACACTAGGGGCAGTCATTTTCAAAATGCATTATAAAAAATACGAACGAGCATATCGCTAAAAATGAATGTATACGATGCACTTTTGACAATTGTTCCAAATATTGATTAAAATACTACGGATAAATGAACTTTTATTATGTTATGAAGAATATGAAACGCATTATTCAATGCAATTCAATGCTCTTCTTAAGAAGCATAAAATGAAGAAAAAGAGATCTGATTTCTTGAATAATTGATACCTCGAATAATTACTCATCAAATCATTGAATTTAACTATAAAGATTATTTTCTACACACATGATTTATGTAAATATTTAATTGAATTTATTCTGAAATAAAAATTTATAGATGAATGATAAAAGAGAAAGGAAAGAATAGTCTAATTTTACTTGAACAATAGTACTGTACATCTTTTTTTATTTTTTAAATTTTATTTGGAACAATTATAATAAAAAGTACTTGTTGTAAAGAGTCGCTGGAACAGAATTATATCTGTTAAATTAAATTATATAAATGTTCATTATCTTTACTTTATTAATAATAATATATATGTTTATTATTTTATTAAACATTTATTTAAAAATTCTGTCTCTCAAAAATTGTATAATATACCAAAAGCTGTAATTTTAAAAATATACAAAGCTAATTCTAAAGCTTTGCAATTTTATTTGTTGTCATCTGATATTATAAAGCAATTTTATCGATATCTTTAATAATGTATAAGTGCAAATAATGTATAAGTGCACTTATCTAAACAATAGTTTTAGAAAAGTTTATAAACGTTCACCATGATCAAAGAGGTCAACAGTTGAAAAGATAACGCAATATGTATGTACAAAGTATACTATAAACTCGACCTTCGACCCTGTAAAGATCAACATTTTCTTTATCATGGATGATGCTCGATGGTACATCGTATCGAAGGACGAAAATCTAGTGCTATAGATAATATGTAATCAATATTGTGTCGCTATGCAGAAGTTTTACAATATTATTTCAAAAATTATTATAACGTTAAATAACATTTAATTTCATAATTTTTATTTTTTATTTTCATAATTTTTATTTTAGATTAATCATTATTTAAATGTTGTGTAATTTATGTTGTCTATTTCCATTGCTTTCTTTTTAATTTTGTAAACGTAAACGCATTATATACTTAAAAAGATGCGATATGGATTCATATTTTAATAATTAACAGTGTAAAGATTATAAGATTCCAATTTGAAAATGATGCACTCTTAAAAGTTAAACAAGATCGACCGAGACAGTCCAACCAATGCAACGATCTGAGGTCGCAGACGTGCGGACGGCTCCTAAATGCTTAATGCGCCAGACGGATAATTCGGATAATTCGGCCGGAGATCGCATTGAAAATAGCGCGACCGAGATTACTTGATCCGGCCGTAGCGTGAAAGCAGCACGAGGCAATTTTATATGCGATAGCATGAATGCAAAATAAATTGACGTGTCGCGTCACAAATGCGAATTCGCGTCGTATGTGTTGAGATTTCAGAATATATCGATCTAACAAAAATAAATTAAAGTCAAAGCGAGAGTCGCAGATATTTTTACTTATTTTTTAGATAGAGGAAATAAATGCGAATTATATCATTTTTTTAAGCTTTTCATTACATAAAAATTATAATAAGTATTTATATTCTATATATAAATATATAGAATTATAATGCATTGTATGTGTAAAATCAATACATGCATATCATAGAAAATTAGAATTATAATACAAAAGAAACCTAGAAATTCGCAATTTATTAATATTACAAGCAAATCGTAGTTTCTTAAGGGAAAAATAATAAAATTAAGATCTGTAACATAATTATTCACAAAAAGAAGATGTTTCTACACAAATATATTATTTCTGAATTTTGGCATATCAATCAAGATCATTGCGTAAGTTTTCCGGATTAAAGTAGAATTGTGATGTTGTAAAAGGTGCCTTGATCGAAGCAACTGGCTGCCGCCGGAAGCACCCCGTTTCTGCAACAGCAAGCCAGGCACCTATCTCTCGCGGATTTGCTGCGATAAAGATCTCTGCAACCTGAATTTATACCCAGTTTTACTATCTCCCAACTCGTCTGAATTATCTTCAGGTATTCTTCCAAGGGTTCGCGATTAATGAGGATTTTTACTTTCTGTATACCTGTGTGCATAATTTAACTATTCATTACTATGTAATGTCATAAATTAACCCCACAAAAATCGAGTGAACAGCATGATTTTTAAAATAACAAGAATAAACGACAGGAAAAATACGTCTCTAAATGGTCAAAATTACACGATATCGGTAATATGAGTTTTTTTACAATTGAGAAAAATGTGCTGTTGTATAAAATATAATTACCGTATTTTTCGTAGAAATAACAACGTGATAGAAATCTTTATCATACGTTTGTTATCGCATATTTAATAGCCATTTAATTTTTGTGATTTTATATATCTGTATTAACACGTTTACCTTTCGATAGAAAAAAAAATATATATAATTTAAATTAGATCCACTTGTTTTTATACGTGCATTTATTTTAATTAATCAAATACAATATACAATTTACAAATTTTTTTGCGAAGTTATGTGAAAATGGAGACAAAACAAAAAATATAAGCAATGAGAAAATTTTTTTACTAAGATTATTAATTACTTTATTAATAATTATTAATGTTGTTTTTAACATACTCTTTTGTAAAGAATTCTTTAACATCTTTATTTATATTTGCGCTGTAAATTGCGTTTAATTAAATATGAATAAAAGTATTAGATACATTTAATTTATTCATAAGATGTTGAAAAAAATTTGCTGATTTTTTAACAATCCTATTCCGCTTGATTGTTTTTTTTTAAATAACAGTAACTGTAGAATTATACTTTCTAATGTGTATTTAGTATATAAGTGCAAATCTGATTTAAAAATCTGATTTTAAAATCGTTGTACTACGTTTAATATATAATTTTTATTGCACAATACTTCAAAAAATAGAGTTCATATTTTTTATATTAAAACAATTATTGAGTTAAACTTTATTCTTCAAATGTATGCATAAAATATAATTAACATAAATTTATTTTCTATTTTTATTTTATAAATAAATTCTGATTTTCGTCTTAAGTCGACTACTTTTATGTTGTATGTTAATAATATGATGTTAATAATTTGACTCTGTTTTCCATGCTCTCGCGTTATTGACGAACATACTAACGCCTTTCGGAGGCTCGTCTCGTGGAATCAATTACCACGCGATCGAACTCAAATCAGCAAGTATTTGCGTCAGAGAGAGTAAGATATGTATGACGACTGAGACCGTCTGAGATATTTCATACTCGGCAGTTCGCAAGTGATTCACGATGATCGAACCACGACGCGTGTTGT